TATATATATATATAACATTTAATTTCTTTTATTAAATTGTGTCCGTTTTATTTTCGTTGGTTATTAATGCCTATATGTATGAATGTTACTATTTCATAAACTGAATAGGTAAGAATCGGTAGTTTATAAACCTTATAAATCAATCAATTATAAGATTTTTTTTTGAATTTTCTAATTTGGATTGAAAGATAAAATTTGTGTTTAGATTTTTTTTAATTAAAATTTATAAAATTAACAATTGTTTCAAAGGATTTTGGAAAAATTCTTTATGAATTGCACATGCAATATACTTATAAAAACAATTAATTAATAATATATATTGAAAAATATATATTAATTTTTTTATTTTGATTCTTGAAATCTATTATTTCTATGATTAATTTAGTCAATAGAAATCAAAAGTTATGATATTTTGTTTTAAAAAATAGTTTTCTTATTGAGAATTTTATAATGTACATTTTTTTAGAATAAATTCTCTTTATTTTTGTTTGGCACCTCTTACCTACATCCATGAACATCTCAATTGATATTCATTCATTTAAATAAATTACAAATTTTATTGGACAAACTTGCAAAATCCTCTCATTACATGACCACCCCTTTCCCCTTTCATATGCGTAGTGACTCCCTATCTCATAGTGGGTGGTGGTGACTAAGGATAGGTATATGGGCTTGGGTTCCCAGGTCGGCATGCATGATTAATAGACCTATTTTTAAAAAAAATCTTCATAATTATAAAGGAAATTAAGTTTAGTTCATGAAATCTCTAAATTTTATGGAATTAATCCACTAATCCCGCGGATCAACTCATTAAAGAGAATTATTTTTTCTACTATTTTTATGAGGGATTTTAAAATATGAGTGATTTTAGTATTTTGTTAATAAATAAGTATAAGTAACAAGTATTGAATTTAATATATTTTCTGTTTTAAATATATTACACTTTTGCTACCTTAATATGTTTTACATTTTCTTTATTCATAAATATGTTTTAGATTAAATATAAAAGCTTGATATGTCAATACTTTAATGCTTTAAAGGAGTGTATTAGAATTAAGTCCATTAAAATCACGTGATATTCAATCAAAATAATTATAATTTTTTTAAGAATACACCAAAGTTTGATAGTATTTTAATTAAGACAATCATGATTTTTTTAGTAGGTCAATATCTAATAGTATTTAATTGAAGCTTTTTAAAAAAATCCTTTCAAATGTTGTAAATTCTTGAGATACAATACACCCTTTTTAGTTTAAATGTATTTCATATATTTTTTTTAGATTGTTTGATGTTTATTTATTTATTTATTTTATGTATTTCTTCCTCATATTTTTTTGGCATAAAAAAGGAAGGATTTTAATTTTTTTTATTAGGATCATACTTGCTCATTTAATCATAGGTTTCACTTCACGAGACAGATATGGACTTAGATAAAAAGATCATTTATTCACAGGTTAGATTTATCTAACCCGTTAAAATTGTGTGCTTCACAAATCGAGCTATCTCATATACTCACCCCTAGTGGTAAACCCCTCCTCTATGTAGGTAACTATTTTCATCACAAGTCTCTCTATTTATACATGATGACATGACCTATCATTCATAATCATTCATTCATGACTCTTCATTCATGATCCTTCATCACAATTCTTAGTTCATGACTCTTCATCATGAATTTTTGTTCATGACTTTTCATTTGTAATTGAAATTCTTTTGTTGATTTTTCAACAATACAAAAGGGATTTATTTAAAAAATACTTAAATATGTTTTTAGTCTAACAAATATAGGGTAAATTTATTTTTGTCCCTCAAATTAAAACTATTGTTTTATCTTCTATAATTTTCAAAAATCTTGTTTTAGTTCTTCAAGTCACAAATAACATATGTGAAAGTGACAGATTGAGACAATTATACATTATTAGTTGAATTTAATATGATATTTTCACTAACAGGACACTAGTAGCTAAATTTTATATGATAATATGTGACAAATTTTCTAACAAAATTTGAATATAAGGATTAAACAAGATTTTTAAAAATTAAAAAGACTAAAAAAATTAATTTTAAATTTAAGAAACTAAAAATAAACTTACTTTAAATTTGAGAGACTAAAAACATATTTAAATCTTAAAAAATATTATGAGATCCATGTGATAGAATTTCCACTATAAAAATAATTCATATGTCAAACACTATCAATTGAATCTTATACAAAGAAACAAAAAATTATTCTAAGTTGATCTTATAAATAGGAATGAAGATAGTACATCTTTCTCATATATTAAAAAAAAAAACTTTATAACACCTATATTTTTACATATAAAAATGACTTTTATTTTTGTTGAAAAACAAAAGAATGAAAGTAAAGTACCTATTCTAAAAGAAGATATCTTTTTTTTTTTTTTATTACTATAGATTATATTTTTTTTAATGAAGAGTTTATAAAAAGAATCAATCACAACATTAAACCAAATATTTAACTCATAATTAGGGGTAAGCATGACCCAATCCGATTCTACCCAAAATTGATTTGGACGAACTTGGACATTAAAATTAGACTAATACATTTTTAGAACGGATACGAATCATGTTTTAGATCATCCAACCTGATTTAATATATAATATACTTTTAAAAAATATAAGTTTTATTGAATTATTGTGCATTATTAGTAATTTTTTTAATTATTAATATTTTTTTATAGCATGATATTATATTTATAATAAAAATATTTATTTTAAATATATATATATATATATTATATAATATACCTTAGTTTTTGTTTTGTTCTTTTATTTTATAATTTTTTAATTATACAAAAAGTTAAAATTAAACTAATGTATCAAAGTTGAATCGACTAAATCTTGTCCCATATATTTTTGAATTTTAGTCAGGTCAAATGTAGATTTTTAAAAAATGATGGGTCTAATTTAGATAAAAATAAGTTGATCCAATCCTACTTATACTCGCTCTATTCACAATTCGGGATGAAAATAAGCGAGGTCAGGTCAGACTTTGAATATATAAACTGGATTTATTTTATAAAATTAAAGTGTAAGTTTAGTCTATTATCTATTATAGGTTTGACTTGGTCTTTTTAAAGTCTGATTTAACCTATTAATTTATTTAAAAATCTATTTATATTAATAATATTAATTAGGTCAATAAAGTTAATTTTTAAAAAGTCAATAAATTTATTTTTAAAATATAATTTATTCAATGATATGACAATTTAAATTTTAAAAGAAATATAAGAAAAATAAATGAATCAACTTCTATTGAAGAGATAATGTATGTGTAATCATGTATATTGATGTAAAGGTCACAAACTTATAAACTTACAACAAAAAAGTTGTATAAAAAATATTTTAAATATTAATAATATGTTTTTGTTTTATAATTTCATTTATTTATTTATATTTTTAATAATATATATATATATATATATTAATTTTTTATTATATTATATAAATAAATAGATTAATCTATCATATCTAACATATTTTTTTAATAAACTTAAGTCGAATATTTTTATATAAATAATTATTTTAAAAGTCTAAACTTAATATTTTTATTAAAAAGTCACGTTTTACCAAATTTTAAAAAAATTATGCCATAAATCCTTATTTAAGGCATGATCTATTTTTATCTTTACTCACAATGATAATATATTGTGTACATAGGATGCATGTACCAATCACTCCACAAATTAAAGAATAATTAATTATAAATAAAGTTTAAAACTTTGCCAACTAACACCTAATATGCTTGAATTAAATCAATGATATTCTCGTTTAACACATATAAACTTGAAGAAAATGAAAAAAAAAAAAAAAAAAACCCAACTACGAACTTATAATTGTGATCTTTCTTTTCTCATTATAGAGAATGGATCTGTCTTGCATTTCGTTTCTCAAGGTCAAGGCTTTCAGTTAGCTATGCCTTTATTCATTCACAAAAACAAACTATCACAACTATAAACTAGATTGTATCGAATTTTGGCGCTAAACCCAACCCATGCCTAGTGCGAAGTCAGTTTCAACACACCCTAAATTAAGTTTCTAGTTAAAAAGTGACGAAAAAATGTTGAACTAAAAAAAGATTTATGAATAGAAGAAAAATTGTCTTCCATTTTTTATTAATTAAAATAAGTCCATTTAGCAGAAGAGAAAAGTGTGAAAAAGACGTAAATTAAAATTAAAGAGAGGGTGAGAGTGTTGAGAGAGTAAAGAGGGAGGGGAAAAGGGTGAGACCCTTTGCTGTTGACTGATATATTCTTCCATTTTGTTTTCCCTGATCCCAAACAGAAGACAGCAGACATGAGTTCCTGAACTAGGATGCCGGATTTTCAGCAGAGCGTGAAGCTAAAGTATGTGAAACTAGGATACCATTACCTCATGTCACACATCTTCACTCTCTGCCTGTTACCTCTCATGTCCGTAATCCTCCTCCAAGCCTCCCAGATGAAAGCAGAGGACATTCACCACCTCTGGGCCCACCTCCAGTACAACCTAATCACCGTCCTCGCTTTCTGCGCCATCCTAGTTTTCGGATCCACCCTTTTCATCATCACCCGATCCAAATCCGTCTACCTCATCGACTACTCCTGCCACCGTCCCCCTCCCCACCTCCGCGTCCGCTTCCACCAATTCATGGACCACTCCACCCTCACCGGAGATTTCCTCCCCTCCTCCCTCGACTTCCAGCGCAAGATCCTCCTCCGCTCCGGCCTCGGCCAGGACACCTACCTCCCCGCCTCCGTCCACGCCATCCCCCCCAACCCCTCCCTGGCCGCCGCCCGGGAGGAGGCCGAGCAGGTCATGTTCTCCGCCCTCGACAACCTCTTCGCCAACACCCACGTCAAACCCAAACACATCGGCATCCTCGTCGTGAACTGCAGCCTCTTCAACCCCACCCCTTCCCTCTCCGCCATGATCGTCAACCGCTACAAGCTCCGCGGCAACGTCAAAAGCTTCAACCTTGGCGGCATGGGCTGCAGCGCCAGCCTCATCGCCCTCGATCTCGCCAAGGACTTGCTTCAGGTCCACCGCAACACCTACGCACTCATCCTCAGCACCGAGAACATCACGCAGAATTGGTACTTCGGCAACAACAAGGCCATGCTCATCCCCAATTGCCTCTTCCGCCTCGGCGGCGCCGCCATACTCCTCTCCAACAAACCCTCCGACCGATCACGCGCCAAGTATAAGCTCCTCCACGTTGTTAGAAGCCACAAAGGGGCCGATGACAAGGCCTTCCGCTGTGTCTACCAGGAACAGGATGATGTGGGGAAAACCGGTGTTTCTTTGTCGAAGGATCTCATGGCAATTGCTGGGGCTGCTCTCAAGACTAACATTACCACTTTGGGTCCCCTTGTGTTGCCCCTCAGCGAGCAGCTTCTTTTCTTTTTCACCCTCTTTCTTAAGAAGCTTTTTAATTCCAAGATGAACCCTTATATTCCCGATTTCAAACTCGCCTTTCATCATTTCTGTATCCACGCTGGGGGGAGGGCCGTGATTGATGAGCTGGAGAAGAATCTTCAGCTTCTGCCGGAACACGTCGAGGCTTCTAGAATGACGCTGCATAGATTTGGAAACACTTCTTCCAGTTCGATTTGGTATGAGCTGGCTTACACGGAGGCCAAGGGCAGAATGAGAAAGGGGCACAGAGTGTGGCAGATTGCGTTTGGGAGTGGATTCAAGTGTAACAGTGCGGTGTGGAAGGCACTTACACATGTTACCCCCTCTCCCAATACTCCTTGGGAAGATTGCATTCATAACTATCCCGTTCAGATTGTTGCATAGACACTGTACTACTACTACTACTATTCTTACCGCGTTCAACCAACTCAAATTATAATCAAATTGGATAATCAATATTGGACTTCATTGTTTTTTGGCCATATATATTATGGATTACACCATCATTTCAGTCATTCTTACTCTCATGAGTGTTAATATCTTCTTCACTATACTCTTTGCATTTGTTGCTGGGTTCGATTATTGTCCATGTAGACAGCTCGCGTAATTGTTATAACATTTTTTTTTGTTTTGCAAAGAATAAATGCATTGTACCAATTCAGCATAAATCAAGTAGGGCCTATAGTGACAAAGGGAGAATCAGAATCTTATTCCAAATGTGTTTGTACCGTCAAGTTCGACAGGTATTCACCGCTTGTTCATACAACACCACCAACTTGATCAACATAAAGTAAAATATTAGATGTTTAATTATTAACAATTAGCTGGATATATTGAAACGAATATATTCTAAAATATTGTAATCAAATATATTATATCCATCTAACATAATATTTTCATTGATTAGAATAATCTTCGCATAATCTTTAAAATATATCTCTAAAATATAATAATATCATTTTTAAATTTAGAGATAGACCAATTGCTTATATATATGAGACATTGTATATCATTCTATCATAATTTTATTCTTAATTTAATTTTTTTTCTTATTTGAGTATTGGAATATCTTTCCAGATATTCTCTCTAACTTTAACATTGAAATGTCTTTTTAAGTATTTTTTATAGTCGAAGATATTACGTAGTAAGAAGTCATCTCCCATAAGAGCACTTACAAATTTTGATAAAAATAACATATATTTATTTTAAAGGATCTCTCATACTTTCTAATTAATATTGTGTATTTATTTTAAAGGATGCATCGTGCTTTCTAGTTTTAAAATGCTTGCTTTGTAAAATGACACACAATTTATTACATGTGTTGTAATTGTACACCACATCTTTTATTTTAATATCTTTAGATCGGTATTTTTTTTTTAGAATTTAGGGTTTAGACATAAATATGATAGAAGTGAATTTTACCTTTCTCTAACAATCTTTTTCACATGTAAATTAATAATTGAAATTTAATACACATGTTAAATGGGCTCTATTGTTATATATGAGATGAGATTGCCAAAATTTTGTTAGTATATTTTATTTTATAAACAAAGATGCTTTTTTTTCCCCTTCTTTTATTCGCTGGTCAAATTTCATTTATTTCAAAAATAATAACTTTCATAATAAATCAGACTCATCCTATAATTGATTGAAAAAATAGCCTATATACTGTTATAGTTATATAAATGTGTTGACTTTATAATAATAAATAATTATCAATCGTAATTTGTGATTGATCAAAATTGTAAAATATGTATCGTGATCATTCATCAAATTAAGTAATTTTGAAAACTAAAAAATTTAACCGAACATTACAATTAAAAATATGGTTTTCCTAATATTCTAATTCTCTACTTATTTGACACTTTTTCTGGTGTCTCTTCCTTATTTCAATCACATGTTAAAATTATAGCATTAAAACACAATTAAATGGAGGGGTGGGGGCAAGGTGTGTTTCTTAGTCAAAGAGGCTGTGATAACTGCAAATAATTGAGCGCATTTTGTGTTGTGGTACATACAGTGTTGGGTTTAACATGACGGAATTTTTTTCTGAAATAATATTTTTTTTAAAAAAAATTACAAGAATGATCACTGTGCAGGATTATTTACCAAGATAGAACCATTTACTGTTCAAGCTCAGAATTCGGTTCCCCGGGAACCGAATTCTGAGCATCAAAATGTAATTTTTTTTGTTTTTTCAACTCAGAATTCGGTTCCCGGGGAACCGAATTCTGAGTTGGTTTTAAAATTTTTTTTTTTTTCGTGTATGGGGCAAATGTGGGCTGATCTGGGAAGCGGAACGGCCCGTTCCAAAAGCAGAACGGGTCGTTCTGCTTAAAGAAACAGAGTGCAAATTCTTTAAGCAGAACGGGCCGTTCTGCTTTTGGAACGGGCCGTTTCACATTCAGAATTTGCACTCTGTTTTTTTAAGCAGAACGGCCCGTTCTGCTTTTGGAACGGGCCGTTCCGCTTCCCAGATCAGCCCACATTTGCCCCATACACGAAAAAAAAAAAAATTTAAAACCAACTCAGAATTCGGTTCCCGGAGTTGAAAAAACAAAAAAAATTACATTTTGATGCTCAGAATTCGGTTCCCGGGGAACCGAATTCTGAGCTTGAACAGTAAATGGTTCTATCTTGGTAAATAATCCTGCACAGTGATCATTTTTGTAATTTTTTCAAAAAAAAATATTATTTCAGTAAAAAATTCTAACATGACGTAGAATTTACAATATTTCGTGTAACTCTTAATTTTTCTGCCTATAAGCAGAAGTTACTCTATATATGTGAAAGAGAGGAAAAGTGAACCACCAGTTATTGTTGTATGCGGTATGGGAGAAGAGCATAGTCAGTTTTTGAAATCAGTGCCAATACATGTGACCGACTTTTCATTGTCAAATCAGAAACGTCCAGAAATAATATTTTTTTCTTATCCAGTCAAGTGATTATATTGTCTTTTTCTACTTAATATTACAACATTATTGGTTATGTATATTAAGTATTAACAGTTAATTATATATATAATCAATTCTATATAATATGTGTTGACTTATAACGGATATTGTACTGATTTTCTTTTACTTAAAAATATTCAATTTCTAAACTTCTCATTAAAGATAGAAATAAGACAAATTATACCGGATTTAGAATATACAAGTCATACATAATTCTCTAAGTTTAACTTATTATCTATTTTTTTTTTTTATAGACATTGTGTAACATTTTAAAAGTTTAATATGATCCATTAGCATATTTAAAAGTATATTTGGCAATCAGATTATTTAAAAGTTTATTTTGTATTAATAATGTTAAATAGGCTAATTAATTTAATTTTAAATAAGTTAACAATTATGTTTTTAAAATACATGCAAGTCATTGTTTAATTTGCATGATAAAAAATAATTCTTATTATTATTATTATTATTATTAAAATTTAGAGTTTAAAATAAAAAATAAAAAATTAATTGAGAGACAATTCATGCATATCATATAATACTAACGTACACTCACACACAAACTATAATAAATAAGATAATTTTATTAAAATACACTTTCTAAATATTTCTTATGTTACATTTGAAGTATTCAAAATAATAATCATGAAGATGAAGGAAAAAAAGTAGGTAAAGATATAGTCACTAAAGATTTTATTTTTGATACCTTGATTTCATACGAATAAGGAATATGAAATTTTAAGTGTTATAAAAATGTAAAAATTATTGATGATTTAAATTTTTGTATTACAAAATTATTTATTTAGGTATATTGTTAATAGAGTTATATATTATTATTATTATTATTATTATTATTATTATTATATCATAGATAAATTGATTGACCTATAAAGACTTAATAATAGATTTTTTTTATAAGTTTAAGTTTAACTTTTTTAAATAAATAATTTTTAAAATAATTTAAGCCTAATCTTTTTATTAAATAGGTTAGGCTATAGTTTATAAATCCTTGTTAATTTAAGGTCTGATTTATTACCATTCCTACTTCTCATCCTTATAATAATCATACTATCAACTCTTATATATTAAATATGAACATAGTGAGAGCGTTTTTAGACACTTTTCTTTGATGAGAAGGGTTTTAGAGATTTTTTTTTAACTTCCTATCTAATTCTATTTTTATTTATTATAATTATTTATGAATTAAATTTTAATACTTTTAAATAAGTTATCAATAAATAAAAATGATATTATGTTATAATATAATTTTTTTTTATAAATTTAAAATATAATTTAAATGTTTAAAATATCAATTTATACACATTTTAAATATGATTTATCTATTTAAATATAATATTTATATATATAATTAATTCTAAATTTAAGTCATATATAATAAATATTTAACATGTGTGATGTAAATGCTAAAATACTAGTTTTTTTTTAATTATCTTTTAAATTGTATGCAATGATCATTTACTAACAGTTTTTATGAGAATGGAAATATTTTTTTATTAATATTTATTTTATTACTAAATATAACTAATTTCAATATCACTATAGTATATTTGATAATGGTAATTAAACTGATGGATAGAATTTATAAAATTACGATTACAAAAGAATAAGATTGAATTTAAAAAAAAAAAATCAAAGTATTTAAATTAAAAAATTATTATTTCACTATTTGTAATGAATCATGGGTTATTACATTTAACAGTTCAACTACTAGCCGTAGAGAAAATATACTCACCACTAACTACCTAGAATCATTGTGCAAGTCATGTAGATACTATAATATATACGTGTGAGAATTTGACAACAACTAAGAAATAAAATTCTATACAAGTATATAAATGTATACAATAATCTATGTACTAAATAATATCATGTTGGTCAACCCATTATATACAACTGGTCCAACTACACTGAGATAGCTCAAAAAAGATTAGCGCCACCATTATCAGCATGGCCTCAAAAGAACTTTGCCTATAACTTATTTCTGTTCTACTCTCATACCAAACATGATTATTGTTGTAGTGCTCTAATAGCTCAATTTATTGAAAACTCTTTTTGGAAAATTGACCCATGAAGATGACAATTGAGTCTCCTTTAGAACCTTACTTGGTATTGTGTGGGTAATTAAGGTCGAGACACACATATATAAACCAACCATAGTATAAAACTCTTACACAACAAAGTGAAATCTCTACATAATACAAAGAATCTTACATAACAAATCCTTAAATAAACTTCGTACTAAAGTGAAAATATAAAACTAAACATAAATAATATCATAAAAATTAAAAAAGAACATCCCTAATCTAAGTTTCGATGTCACATGTCCTATTAGAATACTCCCGAAGGATTAACATCATCATGGAAGAAGGGGAGTGAGAAAACTTTTTAGTCTAACTCATGGCATAAAATAAGAGATGAATAGTCAAATATAGTCAATACATTCTTTATAATAATAAGTTAATAACATCAATATTAAACATATATTTAACACTCATAAATAATAACTCATTCACAATACATCAGAGCATTAATCTTCATAT